ATCTTTCAGGACAGATTTTTATGTAGCTAAATCAAGCTGTATTTGAATGTAAATAAAAATAGGCAATTCAGATTCCTCTTCCTTAATTTGAGAGTCACTAGAAGAAATGACACAAAGGATGGAAGCCCTGGAAAATCGGCTGAGATACAGATGAAGATTCGAAATGCTCCACGTATTTGTCCATCATTGTATCAAGCGTTACAATGAAAGCAGCTTGAGCCCCAAAGCTCAGGCTATTGCTACGTCTATAAAGTTGTAAAGTAAAACCTAACTAGTACTGAGAAAGCTGGTTTGCTATAGAACACAAAGGCAAAAGTACATGCTAACTTGTATAAATTTGAGACTTTCAGAACCCTAAAATGAGATTATCAAGTGAGAACAAACAAGCTATGCAAGATATTCTGTAACATACTGTGGACATGATTTGCTTTTGCCTTGTCCCACCTTTGAGTGTTGTGATCTCATTTGACTACAAAATAGTTTGCAGTCTTACTTCTGTAGAACACTGGCTATAGGAAAAGCTATTTTTTTTGTATTGGACTTTTATCTTGATATATGTATATGGATGTATGCATAAAATCATAAAACGTATGTACTTGTATAACAAGTTGGATTTTTTTATACAATATTAAAATTCACCACTTCAGAGAATGGTATTCTGCCTAAAATTCCTAGTTAACTTTGAATGCAAGGTATGTGTATATGGGAAATGGTCAATATGCATTTGGAAAAAAAAGTTGAATCTCACTGGCCATCTGGAAAACACAGGTTAAAACCATCAGCTTGGCAAAAATTGGGTGTCCGACTACAGTGTTGGCAAGGATGAAGAAAATGGGGCTCTTGTACACACCACTAGTGAGAATGCAAATGGGCATGCTCTTTGGAGTATAATCTGTCAATACCTAGTAAAACTGAAAATGCACACAAGCCGGCACTCTAGCAGCTGCCCTCACAGGCATCTAACTAGAGGACTTTAGCACATACACACAAGGAGACCCGTACAAGAATGTCACCTGAGTTTGTAAGTCACAAATTGAAAATAACCTAAATCATCATCAGAAAGGGAACTGATAAAATTGTGGTGTGGTCCCTACCATACATTTAAAAGAAATACCATATATTTAAAAGGAAGGCACTAGACCTACATGTATACACAATAAAACTCAAAGATGAATTTTAAAAAGCCAAAGGTAGGGGCACCTGGGTGGCTCAGTCAGTTGGGCAGCTGACTCTTGGTTTCAGCTCAGGTCATGATCCCTGATCTTGGGGTCCTGGGATGAGTACTAGAGTGTGGCTCTGTGCTCAGCGGGGAGTCTGCTTGGGGATTCCCTCTCCCTCCCCTTCCCCTGCCCCAGCTCATGCACTCTAAAATAAATCTCTAACAACAACAACAAAAAAAAGACGACCCCCAAAATGACATCTTTCCCATGGAAGCTACTGTATGAGGCCAAATGATATTTTTTAAACAGAACACCTTCAATAAGCTTATATTTAAATATTTCAAGATGAGTGTTTTCATCAGACTGTTCTCCCAAAGGGCAGTGTGGTAGAGTGGGAAGAACATCTCCTAAGCTTCAACTTACCTGCAAATCATGATTCTCTCCAAATATAAAAGTTGTGACCCAAAGTATTAAACCTTCAGTTTGTATTTGTATTTGAGTCATCCAATTGATCCTGAACAGGATTTCATTAGTAAGTACTGATTTGGGTTGGCATTACCTTCTGAGAGGTACTCCTAGTTCAGGCATTGCTTCCTTGGCTCAATTTTACTTCACGTTCTGTTGAGTCCCAGCTCCCTCTAGTGGCTCTAGACTGCACCTCCCTACCCCTGTATTTTTAGCCATTAAATATTTAATCATAGTTTTCAACTTTCTTCATCTTAGGGAGAATGCCTTCAAAGGAAACAAAGGCCTCCATCCAATCAGTCAAATTTACATATTAATCCAAGATATTTACTTGAAGATGGTCTAAAATCTGAAATACTTCCTCCTTTTCCTTGTTTTGCTATCTGTATGTCTTAGGTGTAAAGGTTTTACATTCAGGTTTACTGTGGTGACCTTTACAAGCCTTGATTTCTTCATCTGTCAAATGGGACTAATAGTACTAGCTCACTGGATTGCCAAGAGGATTAAATGGGTTAATGTGTACATTACTTAGTAAAGTATCATTTTAAATAATTATTAGATACTATTGTTTTTATTCTTCAGCAGCCCATGATATCTGACACAAAGATGGTAATTTATGTATATGTTGAGTTAATGAATGAATGCTTTGCTTACCTTATCTAAGTAAAGTACTTTGGCAGATTCCCACTCCTAAATTATCTTTTGAAGCAAACAGGTAGGAGGTAGTAAATTATAGTAAATGTATAGATGTTCAAGACCTACTATCAACAAGATGAAGATGAAATTCTGGCCTAGACAGCCACAAGCGTATCAATGAGAATTAAGTAAATGTTTAAGCCCTAAAAGTTATTATTCACCCTGGTGTTTGAACTCATAAAAGTGATATAAAGTTGAGTCTGTCCTCTAGAACCTTAGCGAGAAACAGGTGTGATTAATGCCATAGAAGTTCTATGGTAACTCAGAGGCACCCAATCTAGACTGGAAGAGGATGTAGGGGTAGGCCTGGAAAAGGAGAGCAAGGGGGAAGGAAACCAGATGCCACTGCAGATGGGGGAGCCCAAGTGTTAAGAGGCAGCTGGAAATAAGATTTGCAAGCAAAGAGAATTGTTTTCCATGAACCAGATCTTCCCAAAGGCTCAACTAATTGCATTCAGGACCAGCCTAGAGTTTGGTTTCTTCACGTACCTTTTGCCCCGCCACGATACCATACCAATTGCAATTAACACACTCCACAATAACCAGCCTCTTTTTTGGGACATTTCTATCTCCAGACCTAACAGGTAGCTCAGTACAAGTATGGAATAAATCCAGTTGGCTGGAATTTCCTGCAATCCCCCGCATATTAGAGATTCCCAGCCAGACACATTACTTTGATTATAATCAGAAAATAACATTTAAAAATACCAACTTAGGCCTTCCCAGATCTTCCTGGCCAGTGGTATTTTCTCTAATTCTGGCAGCATTTTAATAGCACTTCATCACAGCTGTCCCAAGCCAGAAAGAGTGAGGTTTCCCATCTACAAGCTTTAAACTTTTCTCTGAACTTTAAATTCCTTTATTCTTAAACAATGAGTGCACAAAAAGCACATATAAAGGCAAAAGCTCAATGACCTTATAGCATATTATCACCACATAGAAGCCCCTAGAAATCACAGAATTATTTCCCAGAAGCCATCATTCCAAAATGCCTGCAGCCCAAAGTCCTTCAACAGAACCATTACAAAGAAAGGGTACACTGGTACCTGCAATATCGTATTCTTCAGGGACCCCCCCCCTTAGGAGATTAAATTGTAACAAGTCAACCTGGAGGGAAAAACAATCCAAAATTAACCCAAATAGCTGCAAGCTCAATTTGAAAGGCAAAATTTACTAAGTAAGTAGAAAATAAGCACACAAACTTCCTTAACCCAAAGACAAACCTTTTTTTTTTTTTTTAATTTTTTTACAAAGACAAACATTTCTAACAACTATGGAACAGACTAATAGGGCATTAGAGACCAGCACGCAATTCTTTTCAAGGACAAATTTTAAGCATTTTAAAACACCTTGAGCACAACAGTCTCTGGATATTAAAATATGAGCACTTTGGAACATTTAACAGATTTTCCTATCTCTGTGGCTCTTAACCAGGAGATGCTCCTTTGAAAACGTGGGGTAACATTTGGGGGTATCATTACAACATGGAAAACCATGAGAAATATCCTGCAGTATATCCAGTCCTCCACAACAAAGAATTGTCCCATGGAAAAATGTTAGTAGTGCTCCCAAACTGATAAAATACTGAGTAACTGAACAACCAGTAAGAAAACCAGTTGGTAACAGCTATTCTTCCAATTGTATCTACAACCTCAGATTAACTTCAGACACAAACTAAAATCATGCAATATTAACCCATTCCCCTACCTATAAAACTGGGAATTTGACCCATCCGTGGTTGTTCCATAGTGATTAAAAAGGGAGTCTTGTGACTCCAAGTTCAGTAAATACTGGACGCTGACATTCCATATGGTGTATAGATGGCATCCTCATCTCCTATGTCTCACTCATCTACTATCCAAAACTGCCTACGAGAGCTGAATAAGATCTTAAGTCCAAAAGACATGGTTATTTCTGACACTGTTGCAGCCCGAGAGCCCAGCACAGATTGTGTATACTCTACCAGCAACATTTGACTCTGTAAATCAGGATATATCTAAATCAGTATTTTTCCCAAAATAACTCCTGGAAATGTCCCAAAGGAAATAACAGATTTGGGAAAAGGATTCCCATCAGACATATTTGGGAGACATAGTATGCAGTTTCCCAAAAATCTGAATGCCAAATACACTTCAGAGTGTATCTTCTAGGAATAAAATGATATAAAACGATCTTTGGCCAACTGTGGACTTAGCACTTACTGAAGATCTGGGATTCTTCTGAAGTGCTCCAAGTACAGATCTTCTACCTCAACCACTACACACCCTTAGGAAAAATCCGTCTTCATTAAAGTTCAACAGAACTTTTCTCAGACAACACAAAATTTTGGGAGGAGAGTACATATTTCATTTAATCCTCTCTGCTACTCAGATTTGTAGATTTAAGCTGGGATTACAATTCTGGTTAAATTCTGGGTATTGATCTTTGCTGCCTCTCAAACTCAAATATAAAATGCCAACAGTATCAACAATTTTAAAAGACTGTAATCTTTTAAAAATCTAGTAGAGGAAAGGAACTCTGCAGTCCCTTTACAAAAAGGAAAACAGAAACTGGGACACATAGCTCTTAACCAGAAAGTCTTGCCACCACATCTAACTGCCTCATCCTCTCAAATCCTATCTTTAGGAAAGTGTATGGAAACAAAAAGATATAAAGAAAAAAACTGCAATGAATACAGTGTTTTTAAAACAAGTAGTGGCCAGTTTTATTAAAGAAAAATTTTGCGTGATTTACTTTTCACCAGTCTGTTCTGGCATGCTTCGAATGATATCAGAATCACCTAGAAAATAAAACACAATAGTTTTACAATTCATTTAATTGCAACTGGTAATCATCAAATTAGCAATGGCTATCTTCAGAAGTTGTGACACTAGCTTTGCTGTCATTTCTCAAGGATAATCAGATACCAAGTCACAGGCATTTCCCGTATATGATACATCATATAATCAGACTTGGTTTATCACCAGCATTGATAAAACCAGACCTAGGGAAAGAACTAGGTCTGGGGACACATGCATGGTCTTAATATAGCGAATGTTTAGCCTGCCCTGATTATTACAAAATCAGAACAGCGAGAATATTCGCGGTATTTTATGAATTAAAAACTCATAAGTTCAAAACATAACATGATCTGTATTTGTAGGCACTTCTCAACTTAATTTCTTAGGCAGCCAATAAGGACTCCTCTCTTCTACTATTTCACCTGATTACTCTCCACCTTTATAACTTCACCTTTACCAAGGTCCTAAATTATTTAAGTGCTTCAAGCAAAATTCATTTCAAAGTAAAAAAATTCATTTATAACAAGATCTATTACAGTGTACGGATATTATCAATTCTCTGTGAAATAAAACTACAGGATATCCCTTGCTCTATCCAAATTCTCAATATCTGAACCTAGGAACCATAGACATTGTACAGCAAAGAATACCTGTAATTACATTATAAAGGAAAAAAAATTATTCTATGACTTAAAAACATACCTGGATCAATGATAGCCAGGGTGCATACTCTGTAGTATTTCCCACATGCTGTGCCCAATTCAATATTATTGCCACTGTAGTGATGGACACCAGTTTTGGCCAACATGGCATAGTATTCTATTTCAGATTTCCTTCAGAAACCAAAAGACAAATAAATAAATACCATAAAAAGTGACTGACAGATAAAATGTTACTACTTTCGTCATTAGTTTTAATGCTGGTAAGGCTTTCCAACAGTAACTAAACCAGTTGTTACTCTTTAAAAAAAGTACCACATCCATAAGCCAATACAAACCATCCTTCCCTTTGATCCCTTATATGAAATGGGACAAGCAGCAAGTATCTTCTATGTTTAAGACTATAACTATGCTCATGAAAAAGAGAGTAGGATGTGAAATAAAAGTATTTACTGAGCAATTACTAGTCACCAGACACTTTACATTATCTAATTCCACAACAACCTCTTAAGTAGTATATATTCCTTTTTTTTTTAAACTAACGAAGACATTCAGGCACAGAATAGTAAGTGGAGGTTCCAGAATCCAAACCCATGTTATCTTTAAAAGATAAGCTATTTCTTTGTCTGGTGCTCTGAATCCTAGATGAGGAATATTACTTACACAAAGCTAACATTTCTGTGTCAACTGAGTAGGTGGACATTCAGGGTTTTACAAATCCTTCTGAAGGGAGTCCTAACAGATCAGTACCACTACTCAAAGTATGGATCCACAGACCAGCAGTAATGTGAGTGCTTGTTAAAAATGCATGTCAAGTCCCAACCCAAACCCATGAAATCAGAACCCAAATTTAACAAGATTAGCAGTAACTGTGCACATTCACGTCTGAGAAGCACTGCCACAGAAGATAAGCTTAAAGACCAAACCATGGGAGGGGATGGAGGACAGAGCACTCCAGGAAAGCCAATTATGTACAGACACCCTATATAAAATCCTGTGCGCAGGTTATGCATTACCACAGAAAAATCAATGTGCTGGAGGGAATTGATCACACCGCTTATATTCTGCACAGTCCAAGTTTCTTTACCTTATTTTCCATACTAAGTTCAATTTCAAAACAGTGAGGTCAAGCAAAAACTTGGGGAATTAGGAACCTGAAGCTCCACGGCCAGCCTGAACTTTTATCTTAGCTTTTCTACACTAAAACGAGTTCGAAAAATGAAGTATTTTAAAGAAATGACCAAAAAGGCAGGACACAAAACACATGGTGAAACAAGTATGTGTCTGTGCTTCCCTCCAACTTTGATGTTGTGGCTTTTACCCCTCTGCCACACATTTTTCCCAAAGATGAGCTTACACAATGAGAGAACATGATGGAGGGCCGGGGCTGTCAGCCCCAAACACCACGAAAGAAACCGTAAATTCTCCTGTAAGTGCTCGCTTGTAAAACAAATTTTACATAAAACCGAGTCCGTACTACCCAGATTGCCCATGGTAACACTCCTGGGTATTCACTCCGATCAATATACAGTGGGCGACACACACACCCTCAAGGTTCCTTCGATTACCTCAAGGCTGGGCAGTTGTTGGCGAGGATGACCAGTTTCGCTTTGCCATGTCTGATCATTTTCAGAGTCTGCTTGTACCCCAGCACGTACTTTCCACTTTTCATAACAAGCTGGAGCCTGGAGTTGATCGACTCCAGCGACTTTTTCTACAAAGCAAACATTTAACACGGATCTTAAGGCCTTTTTTTTTTTTAACCATCTCAAAACAGCATCCAGCTTTCTGGAAGCCGAGCCCTTTAATAGACCTCCCAAGTCTAGGATCCTAAGTCACTGAGAGGACCACTCGGTTTCCTCTCGGGCCCCTCCATGCCAGGGGGCTTGCTGTCTCCCCAGTGTGCTCAGATCTGCCCGCCGGGGCCAAGACTCATTCCTCCACGTGAATCGGCTTCCGGCCCTGGCGCGTTTCACTCACCGTCTTCTTTGCGGCCACCATCTTCCTGTCTTAGATGCGGGACGGCCCCAACCTAGAACATACAGAGGACAGGACAGGAAGTTTAGGATCGCAGCTCCAAACGGCAACGCGCTGGGATCCCCGCGCTGCCTAAACGTCGGCCACGCAGTGCCCACTCACCAAAACCAGCCGCCAAAATGGCCGGGAAAGGAAAAGGAAAGAGTTCCCACAATGCAAAGCTCTTCACCGCGAAGCCTGGACGCCGGAACCGGAAGTAAGCCTCAAGCGGAAGGGGCGGGGCAAGGAGAGGAGGGCCGTTGGCTGCTGCTGGTTGTATGGTTGGTTAGAATGGCGGCAGACCCGTACTCTTACTCTCTGCTGCGGGCCTTAAAGTTGTGTTAGTCTGTTGCTCCCAGCTGCGAACTCAGGAACCGGGGAACGTTGAACCGGGCGGGAGTTGGAGAAGCCGACTGAGAGTGAGGCGGGAGCGACGCTGAGAAGGGGCGGCGGCGGCTGGACCACGGTCTTAGTGCGGCGGAGCTCATCCATCCCGAAGCCGCGGCTCTTGGAGGGGACTCCGGTGCGCCTCAGCTCCTGGGTCTACCGTCCCGCGTCACCTACACGCGGGCCGAAGCAACTGTGCGCCCTGTCCTGCCCTCGCCCAAGTTGCCGGCCTCTTTCGGAGAACGGTGGCGCCCCGCGCTGACTTCCCCAAACTCACCTTTTTGGTGGCGGTGTTAGCGTAACCTTGTAAACCGAATCTTCACAGAGCAATAAACAGATCTCTTTGACAAATCTTTTTGTTGTGAACGTTGGGCCTTGATATAAATGTCCAATGACGGATCATTAAAAATAGCGAGCACAGAGCGTCTCCCACTAGTACCCAAAGAGTGTAAAATCGGACCAGTAGGTAAGCAGTCATCGTATGTCAACTTTTAGGAATATATCGTACAGAAACAGTCACAGTTTCTTAGTCATGTGAACAAGGATATTTATTTCAGCATTAATTTTAATAGCAAAAGAAATTAGAAACATAAAATGCTCATCATTCTTAATGTATGTGTTTGTATATGCATAGAAAATTCAAGTCTGGAAAGCTAATCATCAAAACTTACCACTGGATAAGGTATGAGGAGAGTGGGTGATGAGAAGACATTTTTTTACCTTCTATATTTCAATACTACTTGAATTATTTTACAGCATGCATTGTTATGTAAAGTTCCTTTTTAATAATAAAGTGGTGATTTTAAATAGGTCTTGTGAAACACCAGTTGTATCTGAAAGCAGTATTTCTGAAAGTATGGCTCCCAGATCACCTGATTGAGAATCACCTTGAATTCTGACTCTTGGACCCCACCCAGGTATGTAGAAGAAATCTCTGGTGGGGCATAGGAATCTCAGTTTAATATGCAGCTTCGGGGATTCTTACAAATACTAGAATTTGAGAAGTAATGAACTAAAGAATGAGGGACACCTGGCTGGCTCAGTTGGTACAGCATGCAACTCTTGATCTTGGGGTCCTGAGTTTGAGCCCCATGCTGGGGGCAAAGGTTACTTTCAAATAAACACAAAAAACTGAAGAATGAGATAGCCAAGTTGGGTTTGAGGCATGCCTGCTTAGGTAAAGACAAAAACTAAATAATGAAGCCTTATACTTATATATTGAGCCGTATATTTTCAAAGCTTTTTAATACTTTCTCCCAAAGTGATCAGGATAGATATTATCCCCATTTTAGAGATTAAGTGATTAAAGTACTTGATAAGACTTTGCTGGGGTGCTTTTCGCTATACGATAACAAGTTTCTGGTTCTTACTATATATGTCCTCGCTATACTTTAAAGATCCCAACGATCTTAATATGGTTTTGTACTGGAAGCCAGAGAAGCTCAAAGCACTTATTTTATGTATGAAACGTGACCACTAAATGTTTGAGAATTCTTCTTAGGGAATCTTAACTGATTTTGCCGTATCTCTTTGGAGACAGACTTAGGTTCTTGGTTTTTCTATTTAATATCTGCTTGACTTGGGGCAAATTGTCTAAACTCCCTAAGCCTCAGTTTCTTCATCAGAAAACTAGAATAATATGTTTACCTCGTAGTATTGTTGTGAGGATCCCAGTAAACGTAATGGTGTAAAAATCACCTAGCATTGGGCCTTGTACAGAACAAATGTGCAGTGAATATTAATTCTCTTCATCAGTCCAACTCCCATCTCTTCAATCTTCCTACCACAGCCACCTGCCCACACCTAAAGTCTTTCACAACATCACAAAACCTATACACTAGGGGAAGAAACACCATGCAAAAATGACAGTCATATCTTTTGACTCAAGAAGATTTTATAAAATTTTCCACACTTGTATTTATCAGAGCAGGAATTGGCATACTTTTTCTATAGAGGCGAAGAATAAATACTTTAGGCCTTTGGGGCCATATGTTCTCTGTGGCAACGACGCAGCTCTGTCATAGCACAAAAGCAGCCACAGGCAATAGATAACAGCTGTACTCCAATAAAACATTTACAGAATCAAGCGGCCAGCCAGATTTGGCCTGCAGGCCAAAGTTTGCTGACTCCTGTGTTAAAAGATTACTCTTACTATTATTAAAAATAACTGCTTTAAGTCATGTCCTTCTTCCAAAGAGATGTATGTTGAAGTATATATGGATGAAGTGTCATGATTATCTGCAACTTGTTTTTGAATCGCTAAAATAAATGTAAAAATCTAAAATAAATGAAGGTAGGTAGAGCAAATGCAGCCAAGTGTTAACAACTGTTGAATTTAAAGTGGAGGGTATATAGGTGGTGGTTGTAGCATTAAACTTTTTTGAGTTTCAAAATCTTCATAATAAAAAGTTGGGAAATACATATGCTTTAAGAAGGGGTTTTGCCATCTAGATATTATTTTGTTTTTTCTGGGTATCAGTCGGTAGCATTTCAGAGTGATTTTGAAAAAATATCAACAGGTAAATGTGATAGAACAGAATTAACACAAGGCTTTGGTTTTCATTCACCAAAATTGCTGCTCCAGGTTTCTGAGAACTCTGCAGGCACCTGCATTCATTGTGCTTTTGGTTTATACTTGCTATGGGAATTAAAAGTGACAGGCTGCATTCCCTGTTAGAGCAAATACTAACAAGTTCATCTGATATTCATTGGTTCAGTACACTGGCCCATCCCTTATTGTTAAGCAGTTAAAACTATCATATTCATTATCATCAGCTATTAGTTATTCAGTGTCCAGATTAGGAAGCAGCCCATTAGTACAGGTGACCCTTGAACAACTCAGAGGCTAGAGGCACTGACCCCCCATGCATTTCGAAAATCCATGTATAACTTTTGACTCCTCAAAGACTTAACTACTAATAGCTTACTGCTGACCCGAAAATCCTTATCGATAACATAAACAGTCGATTAATACGTTTTATTTTTTAAAGATTTTATTTATTTGTCAGAGAGAGAGAGAGCACAAGCAGGGGGAGTGACAGGCAGACAGAGAAGCAGGCTCGGTGCAGGACTCGATCCCAGGACTCCGGGATCGTGACCTGAGCTGAAGGCGGACGCTTAACCGACTGAGCCACCAGGCATCCCAACACATTTTTTTTTTTTAAAGATTTTATTTATTTATTTGAGACAGAGAGAATGAGAGAGACAGAGAGCACATGAGAGGGGGGAGGGTCAGAGGGAGAAGCAGGCTCCCTGCTGAGCAGGGAGCCTGATGCGGGACTCGATCCAGGGACTCCAGGATCATGACTTGAGCCGAAGGCAGTCGCTTAACCAACTGAGCCACCCAGGCGCCCCACATTTTTTATATTCTGTGTATTATATACTCTGTGATAAAGCAAACAAGACAAAAGAAAATGTTACTAAGAAAATCATAAGAGAAAGTACATTACTGTACTGTACCGGAAAAAAAGTCCATGTATAAGTGGACCCTCCCAGTTCAAATCAGTGTTGTTCAAGGGTCAACTGTAATTTAGAAGTCTATTTGTTTAACTCAACCTTCACATTCTTAAGTCACCGTGGACATAATACATGCTCAGAAATCTGGTGAAGAGAGGAAGGGACGGTGAATCTAAGTGAAAATATCCTGTAAACCTAATGAATGTTGGTCACCTTTCAACTAACTAAACACACATACACGGATACAAGAATTCTGAACCATTAGAGGACAATAATAAGGAATCCAAAATATTTCTCCTATGCCCCTCTCTTTTCAGACTGGGAATGCTCCAGACCGCACTGGATTAAAAATAGGCCAGAGAAATGCTTTCTCCTTTTTTTTAAAAACCATTTTTCCATCCAAGGAGCTTATGTTTTTTAAATACTCTTGGATACAAAGAACCCAGAGTACTTCATTCACTATTTTAATGTGAAGGAGTGACACTTGGAACGTAGAGTGATGTCTATAAATGTTTGTCTTTGGGTTATTTTATATTTCTTAGAGTCAGTTTTTAAAATTTTAGTATAAATGGGATTCCTATGTTTCTAAGTGTCTATAATATGACATTTTACATATTATTTTCAATAATTTGAAAAGCCTGCCATGTACATGTACTTTTATCCTTAATAAAGGTGTGATACACAGGCTAAAATACCAATTTTTTTGCTTTTAACTGGAACTTAATAATGTAACATTGTATGTCATGCTGATCAGAAAATGTTACTGATTAGTTAATGGAGAAATAATAAATGCAAATTTGGGACAACATCAAAACATGAGTATGTTGAAGAAAAATGATGAAGGTGAAAAGATTTATGACTATGCCTTCAAAATATAACACATCAAGGTACTATCAGCATTTAAAATGACAGTATCAGTTATATCCAGGTATTATCAAGATAAGACTGAAGGAATAAGACAGGACAGGTAATTGCTAAGAAGGAGAGTGATCAGGGAGAGGGGAAGTAGGGTAAATATTGTATATTAGTCTAGATAATTAAGTTGTAAGCAACAGAAACAAACTAGCTCAGTTAAGCATAAAAGGAAAATTATGTTGTAGTTCACCAAATGAACAAGAAGCCTGGAGAGCACAGATCTGTGTATATGGTCATGGAAGAAGCATCCCATTTATTAGTCACTGGTTCAAAACATACTCTGCAAACCATAGGGCAGCACCCTCACCTTCAAAGATGTTTTCTCTTGGCTGGTGCCATAACTGAGTGTTTAATGTGCCCCTCCATCATCCTATAGGTTTAGCTTCTTCTGGATGTGGAGGTAGATGAAAAGACCAGTAGATCACATAGAAATTCACCTATTACTTTACTTGTCTCATAGTAAAGTGAGTTATTTGGTAAGATACAATACTGAATGTAGTGTCTTGGTGTGTAATGTCTTGAAGATACTATCCTGATATGCAGGAAAATCAAATCTAATCCAATGTCTATTAAAATAAAAAATACCAAAGAGGTTCAATCACTCTTTCTGTTTCCAAAGAGGTCTTATCACTCGTTCACGAAGTGGCTGATAGGCCCCTTAAGGTATAGGTACCATTTCGGAGGCTTGTAGTTGGTCACTCTTTAGTGCTACCGGCAAACTGGGCCCTCAGCCAGGTAAACCATGTTAAGTGGAGGAACATGCAGTTGAGCTCACGTATGTCTTCTTTCTCTGTTGTTAGAGCCATCCTATTCCTGAGCCCGTTGAGCAAGCACTGAGGTGGCTCATGTAAAAGACTAATATCCACAGGACAACGGATTATTATTGTTCACCTGATTATAAAATGCTTCCTCTGAAGAAAATGGAAGAGACCATGGCTTGGCTGACAAATTATCTCCAAGGAAAAGTAAGATACCCCAGTCAACTCCTAAAAAATAGTTGATGGGGAAAAGTGGGTACTTAACTAAGGGCCCAGTAAGCCCTGGTTTAGCATGAAAGCATTAGGATTCAGAGAATTTCAAGTTAGTGTTTATATTTAACTAATCTGTGAGTTATTGCATCTCTTTTGAGGAAGAATGGAATTTTGAAAAACTTTCACTAGCTAAATCAAATTAAATGTGACTTTAAAAAAAGAGCATCTTCTGAAGTGGGAGCCTGCTGTGGACTGACTTGTGGCCCCTCCCTCCCCCACTCATATGTTGAAGCCCTTACCCCAATGTGATTCAGTGGGGAGGTAGGGTTGAGGAGGTAGTTAGGGTTAAATGAGGTCATAAGGGTGAGGCCCTAATCTGTTAGGACTGTGGCCTTGTAAGAAGAGGAAGTCTCAGGGGTGCCTGGGTGGCTCCGTTGGTTGAGCATCTGACTCTTGGTTGCAGCTCAGATCATGATCTCTCTCAGAGGTCATGGGATCAAGCCCCGCATCGAGCCCCACTCTCAGCGGCAGAGTCTGCTTGAAGATTTTCTCCCCCTGCCCCTCCCCCACTCGCTCTCTCTTGCCCTCTGTGTCTCTAACATAAATAAATATATCTTAAAAAAAAAGAAGAAGAAGAGGAAGTCCCCCAACCCCCACCCCATGTGAGGACACAGTGAGAAGGCTGCCATCTGCAAGCCAGAAAGAGTTCTCACCAGAAACCAAATTGGCCAGTACCTTGATCTTAGACTTCCCAGGCTCCAGAACTGTGAGAAATAAATATGTTATTTAAGCCACCCAGTTAATGGCATTTTTGTTACGGCAGCCCAACCTATGAAGGCCTTTTGATAGCATTTATATAAGACATAAATATTCCCCAAATTGTGGCCTGTTCTGAAAGGTCCATCCACGTACCTCTCCCCCTAAACTTCCTTGCGCTAATCCTGTAATTTTGCTCAGGGACTTGGAATCCAGCCAAATCCTTAGTTAGCCACTTTCAAAGTACTTCTCTTTCCTTGGAGCACAATAACCCTGATTAGAAGGTTAGGAGGAGAGTTCTAGTACGTATTTGTAATGTTATAAAGTGTACTTCCTCAAAGATACCCAGTCTCCTCTTCATTCAAAGGGATTTGGGAATTGATTGCTGGGCAGCCCAGGCGTTGTCAGGCCTACACTGCAGGAGGGAGAGGAAGAGGGGAAAAAGAGACGAGAAGGGATAGGAAGGGGAGGAGAAGTGAGGTAGAGAAGGGAGGGAGGGAGACCTCTAAACACACCGTAAAGACCATAGCTGTGTACCCCCATGACCCGTAGAGGGAAATATGTCAAGTTTTAGACAATTTGAGCATCCAAATTAATAATGATGTGTTAGGATCTGAATTGTGCCCCCCTCATTCATATGTTGAAGTCCTAAACCGCTATAGTTTGTAATATGGCTGTTTTGGAGACAGGGCCTTTAAAGAGGTAATTAAGGTAAAATGAGTGGGCCCTAATCCAATATGACTGGTGTCCTTGTAAGAAGAGGAGATTAGGACATAGATACTTATACTGTGGGAAGACCATGTGAAGATATATGGTGAACACTGCCATCCCAACCAAGGAAAGGCCTTCAAAAGAAACCAACCCTACTGACATCTTGTTCTCTGACTTCTAGTCTCAGAACTATGAGGAAATAAGTTTTTGTTGTTTAAGTCAACCCATCTGTGGTACTTTGTTATCGCAGCTCTAAAAAACTAACACAAATAGTAACATGACCCATTAAATAATGTAAGAATTCATGAGTATTTACTGCTGTAAATAAATGAATAATAAATGGAGGAAAAGGGAAAGTGCTCCCTTACTGTAGAATGCCAACTAATAAATGTAGAAGGAATAATGTAATTAGAAAACCACTATTTGATAACCATCATAGCAATAATTGATCCCAGCAAGAATATTAATGTAGGCTAAGAGCAGATAAAAGTTTGATGAGATATAGGATGTTAGTCTCAAAGTCTCTCACCATAAATTCAAGGAGTAAAATAGTAACTTTTTGGTGGCAAACTTGGCAGACACTACCTTAACTAACTGATCAAAGTTAACATCACCAATAATAGAGAACCTGAAATCATATGCTCTTGATGGGAATTCACAGACAACATAACATCTTGTATTCCAGCCAAAACTGCATTGCCTGAAAACAATCATAAGGAAAAACCAGACAAACCCACATTGAGAAATATTCTACAAAATAAATGGGCTATTCTCTTAAAAAAAGGTCAAGGTCATGAAAGACAAAGACTTGGGGATCTACTTCAGATTAAAGCAAACTAAAGAGAGGCACAATTAAATGTAATGTGTGGTCCTGGATTGGAGAATTGACCAAACTTGAATACGAGGTGGATTAAATAGTATATCAACAGCAAACTTCCTCATGGTAACAGTACTGACGTTATGTAAGAATAAGACTGCCATCCAAAGCTAGTCTACCAATCAATAGCCACTGGCCACAATCGCCTCCTCCCCTCCCCAGCTATTTAGTGATGATTCGGATGAGCCCTCCCAGCCCTTCGCCCTCTCCGGGATAGCGTCCCTATCCCTACTACTGAAGCCTTTTCCCTCTCCTCCTTGACTGCACTCCCCACCTTCTGCCCACCTGGCTCCCTGTCCCTGTCCTCTCCTGCTTCCTCGCTCTGGCGAGGTCCCTCTCTTACCCTCCCGGCCCCTTCCACCTCTGCACTGCAGCCTTCCTTCCCCAGGTGCGCACCGCCTCCGCGGAGCTCGGCTGTGCGCTTGCGCTCCGCACCCGCGGGAGCCGGGCCGGCAGAGTTGGAGGAGCGGCGGCGGCGCCGGGGCGGTTTGCGCGGGATCGGAGCTCCGGGCCGACGCCCGCGCCGGGTTGGGATAGGTGGCTGCGCTGGTCCGCAAGACCGCCTTTCTGCCCGCGATGGGCTGCTCCAGCAGCGCCCTCAACAAGGCCGGCGACAGCAGCAAGCTCCGCAGCGGTGAGCAGGGGACCCGGCCCCAACCCCGCCCGGGCCTCTGGATTCGGGTCGGCTTGCTCCCCGAGGGTCCGAAAGGTGCGACTTGTGTCCGCCCCGCCCGGCAGGGGGCGGGCTGCTCGCTGAGGACGGGAGTGCACCCTGAGCGCAGCGCGACTCCCTCCGGAAACCCGGAGCGCGGCTGCAGCCGCGGTGCGGAGGTCCCGGTGCGTCCCGCCGCACACGCTGTCCGACGCGGGAGGCCAAGGGCCGGGACCGGGTTACCCTACTCGCCGGGCGATCGGGGAGGTGGGGTTAAATCCCTACCGCGGTTGGGCGCGGGTTCCCTTAAACAGATAAGTATTTTCCTGCCCTTACAAGAGGTGCTCTTTCATCTCCTCAAAGTACGAACTTTCAGATTATATAAAGCTGCAAATTCCCTGGGAACCATTGGTTTCTGGTCGTAAGGAGAGACGTGGTACCTGTTTTTCTATCGAGAGCTTGCCCTCTCTTCCGCATTTCAGCATCAGAGATGGTAATGGATGCGCAGAGTACAGGTGGACATTCATTCCATCAAGTAGGTTCCTGCACTTTGAAGAGGTCAGATACACTTTCCCCTATCCTTGGCTTCGGTTTTTCTTGACAAATATCCGTGCGATAAAAACTGGTCATAACAAGTATATTTTGAACGTCTATTATGTGATAGCCAGGTGCATGGCTAGATGCTGGAGATACAGTTGACCCTACTTTTGGGGGTTAGGGATCGAAGAGATAGGTAATAAACACTTTAAATGATTAAGATAAATTTCTGACAGTAAGAAGTGCTGTGAAAAAGAGCAGATTAATGAACTGGAGAATGACTGGGTTTTATGTGCACTTCTTAGATTTCGAATGGCTAACATTTTAGACCAAGTTTCAAAGGTTAAGCAAATTTCTTCAAGTTAGTTTGCATCATATTCAGGACTAACTCTAGGGGAAATTTTATTTTGCAGTTAATTCCTTTTCAGAGGTCTTCTTTTAGTACCTGTGTTATTCCAGTAACAGAAATGTCTTCCTCTCTGGTTTTGTAGTAGAGAGCACAGGGTTATGGTGAATGCTGTTTCAAAGTTCACACACTGTGTCCTAGTCAGAGGTATGTTGTGTTGCAGTCATTTTCGTGGTGTATGATAAATTTATTTATAATTTCAGTAGGTAACAGAAAGAAGTAAAAAGTTTGGAAATAGGCAAAGTCATTAAAACCATATATAAAAGTGATTCCAAACCCTTTGTCACTGAAAACAATGTGAAGTGATGGAAAAATCCATTCCTAATGTGCAATATTTGCTAACCTTTCTCCTAAAGAAACAAAAGCCTCTGTACCCCAAACATGCTCTCAAGAAGCCAGTGCAAAATAATAATAATAATAATAAATTTAAAAAATTTTTAAAGAGGCTAGTACAAGGAGCAATTTCTTTGATGTTTCATTTTATGAAATCAGGTAGATTTTGCATTCTGTTCCATGATAAATTCTTGTTGGTTTCAATATGAAAAGCTGAGGAAAGTTGATGCTTCAGGAAGATACACCATATTTTGGTTTCTCTTATCCCCTTCTGTGACCCCAGCTATCCTAGGATTTGCATACTGATTTAAGAAGCAGAGCACTAGGGGCACTTGGATGGCTCAGTAGGTGAAGCCTCTGGCTTTTGGTTTTGGCTCAGGTCGTGATCTCACGGTCGTGATCTCATGGGTTGTGAGATGGAGCCCCATCTTGAGCCCGGCCTCAGGCTCCACACTCAGCAGGAGTGTGCTTGAAGAGGCTCACCCTCTGCTCCTGCCCCCATGCGTGCGCTGTCTTGTGCCCTCTCTTTCTCTCTCTCGCTCAAATAAATAAATAAATGGGGGTGCCTGGGTGGCTCAGTTAGTTAAGCCACAGACTCTTGATTTCTGCTCAGGTCATGATCGCAGGGTCCTGGGATCACCAGTGTGGGCCTCTGCACTCAGTGGGGAGTCTGCTTCAGGATTCTCTCTCCCTCTCCCTCTGCCTCTCCTCTCACTTACTCATTCTCTCTCTCTCTAAAAATAAATAAATAAATCTTTTAAAAATCCATAAATCTTTTTTTTAAAAAGCAGAGCACTAAATCATCATAGATTTTTTTATTTTTTTAGGATTTTATTTATTTATTGGAGGGAGAGAGAGCACGGGTGAGCGTGTGCGTGAGAGCGGGTGAAGGCGCAGAGAGAGAGAGGGATAAGCAGACTCCATGCTGAGCGTGGAGGCAGGGCTTGATCCCAGGACCCTGAGATCATGACTTGAGCTGAAATCAAGAGGTAGGAGTTCAACCAACTGAACCACCCAGATACCCCTCATTATAGAATTTTTTTAACTGATAAAAACATGACTCTGGGGAATGTTACTCTTAGGGAAGGACAAAAGTACCTAATAGGTGGACTAGGTTTTTAATCCTTTCAAAAAATAATGAATAACCTTGTTTTAAAAACAATTTGTCACCAGTATTAATAACCATCAACATAAGTCACACCCTTTCATTTTTTATTCTTGCTTTCCTCATTGTTCTAAGTTTTCCCGGATGTTGTTCTGAAAGAAATGTTAAAATGCCTGACAACCAGGTTTAGAGTGTAGAAAATTAATACGCTGCATAAATTGCTCAATGCACATATCAAATCAGTCAACAGGTGTATTTTGCTTCTGATCCCCAATCACAATACTCTCTTGTAATTGGATACTGTTGTATGTTCATCAGCATTTCAACTCCATGATCTTGGAGGCTCAATAAATAATTCATTCCTGTTTCTGCAGCTCAGAACTTCTTTAAATCCTATATACAATCCCAAGTCTGTGTGTATGAGCTTTTACATTAAAAAAAAATCCAAGTTTATTAAATATCCTGTACGTGCCTTTACTTACTGTACGCTGGTGCCTAACAATACTTCATTTAATCTTTATGACAATCCTATGACTAAGTACTACAAGTCTCTCCATTTCGCAGATAAGGAGCCCTGTGACCTTGGGCAAATTATTTACTCTTCAGAGTCAGAGCTAGGCTTTGAATTCAGGTACTCTGATTCCAGAGCTGGACCTGTTTCTCCTTAAACCATCTTGTGATAACTAGATTTAAATCTGTTTTTGCCTCAGATTACTCTGGATCCCTATTAGAGATGTGGTCATCCACTATGCAAACAACAAAAGAAATCTAATAGAGTATAATATAGTATTATAATTCAATAAGTTTAATAATATAATTATAATAGTTTTATCATAATCCCTAAATAAGATCTATAGTAAT